CTGGTTAAGCCACACTATCTTTAATTCAGTAGATACTCTAGATCAGGGGTGTCAAACTCAATTCCTGGAGGGCTGGAGCCCTGCACAGTTTAGATTCAACCCTAATTAAACACACCTGATCCAACTAACCAAGTCCTTCAGGCTTACTTGAAAACTACGTGATATGTGTGTTGCAGCAAGGTTGGAACAAAACTCTGCAGGGCTCCGGGCCTCCGGCCTTCCAGGAATTGAGTTTGACAGCCCTGCTCCAAGACCTGAAACTGGCGTGTCAGAGAAAGGAGACATGCAAAATGTGCAGTGTTGGGGTGCCTCCAGGACCAGGGTTGGGAACCACTGCTCTAGGCTTATTTGAAAACTGCATGGTGAACTGGTTCAACCGGTTCACTAAGAAGAACCGGTTAAATTGAACGATTCGTTCGCGAACCGGTCATCTCTAGTGAGAGTGCAAGTCTGACAGTGCAAGTGCAAGTCTGCAGCCAGACCCTTCTCAAATATTGTTCTAATTGTATAACAAGTTTTAAAACAACTGGTTAAGCCACACTACATTTAATTCAGTAGATCCTCAATGTGCAGTGTTGGGGTGCCTCCAGGACCAGGGTTGGGAACCACTGCTCTAGGCTTATTTGAAAACTGCATGGTATGTGTGTTGGAGCAGGGTCGGAACAAAACTCTGCAGGGCTCCGGGCCTCCGTCCCTCCAGGAATTGAGTTTGACACCCCTGATCTAGATGCAATATCGGATTTCAAGAGGACAAAATCATTAAACGTGTGATCTGATCATCATGACAGGACTCAACAACAGCATATAAAGAGCACATAATAACATTTAAGACATAATACAGCCAAATAAAATCTTGTGAGCATCCAATGTATGGTCAATGGTTTAAAGCACATGTATACTGTAGGCGCTATATTTAGAATCTCACAGATATCAAATTTAGGATTGGCAGTGACCTCTAGTGGTGATAAAAGGTAGAGAGTTAGTCATTATGAATTTCACAGAAAAACAAGCTTATTTGAAAACTGCATGGTATGTGTGTTGGAGCAGGGTCGGAACAAAACTCTGCAGGGCTCCGGGCCTCGGTCCCTCCAGGAATTGAGTTTGACACCCCTGATCTAGATGCAATATCGGATTTCAAGAGGACAAAAAATTAAACGTGTGATCTGATCATCATGACAGGACTCAACAACAGCATATAAAGAGCACATAATAACATTTAAGACATAATACAGCCAAATAAAATCTTGTGAGCATCCAATGTATGGTCAATGGTTTAAAGCACATGTATACTGTAGGCGCTATATTTAGAATCTCACAGATATCAAATTTAGGATTGGCAGTGACCTCTAGTGGTGATAAAAGGTAGAGAGTTAGTCATTATGAATTTCACACTCACGTCCGTAGACATGGTGTAACATTGGTTTTGCTTTGTTTCACAGAACTAATCGTTGCCTGGGTTGCGTACGTATATGTGGAGCGGAGCTATCAAAATAGGGGCAAGACCCTTTTGGGGTAGGGGTGTGTTTGTTTTGGTGATTTCAAATATCAACATTGGCTACCAGAAATCGCTTACTCTGCCTTTAAACGTCACAGGAAGTCACTGAAAATATTTTAAAAATACTCTCGTTGCATTTGCTTGGATTTTTATTTTTAAATGTCAATTTAATTTTATTAATGCATACTAATAATGCATGATGATTACTTTTTTCTTGTTATGAGTAAATGTAAGCTAATATTAACAGTTTTCTCAAACAACTGCCCACCTGTACTTTAACGGTCTTATAGTTACAGACATTAGAATATGACAAATGCTAAAGATTATCAGACATTATTCTTTCTTTCTGTCTCACGCGAACACAAAAATACCTTGTAAGACAGAAAATTGCATCCAAAAACTGTGTACATTTACTAAATATATATATATTTTTCTTAATAAAACAAGGTCATACATATCAAAGCATGTAACATGATATACAGCAACAAAGATTCTTGTAGAGGTATTGAAAATAAATGAGACCTTCTGGATTAAATATTTAACTGTAATCACAAATGACACTGATATGTGACACCAAAAAAAAAACTGCATCTCTGCATTCTGAACTACATCACCCATCAACTCACACTGAGTTAGTATTGCAATGCTTACAGGGCATCTTTCACGTAAAAGCTCAGTTTAATTTGCTGTGGTACATTTGAAGTCTTTAGTCTGTATTTAGTGCTTTTCGCAGAAATGCCTTATTGCAAATGTCTCTAAGTGACTGCTGACTGCTGTGATTTGGGGCTTTATCTCCAGTATTAATTTCACAGGGGTGACAGAGTGGCTATAGATCATGGCACCTCTCAGGATTTGTGCTGTCTTCATTCCTCCAACACATTTTTACCACCAGTATTTCCATGAATGGCTATTAAAGCAAAGCTTGACTTCTCAAATATGATTAAAATAAGCACAAGCTTTATCCCCCAGAGCAGAGGAAATCTGGAGGATTGCTCTGGAAGAGGTTTTCAAAATGCACTGCTTGAAGGTATCACTAGCTGTTTACTACACCAAAGAAGGTCCGAGAGTAATCAGAGTTTTAATTCATGCTTAAATGTCTGTTAACAGATTCATGCAACATTCAGAAAATATAGTGTAGAAATTGCTTGAAAGAATTTTGTGTGGTCAAAGGATTTTTGGGGCATATCGTGTGTGTGTGCATGTATGTATTTATGTACAGGTATATGTGTGTGCATTTATTTTTTTGAATGTAAATGTTTATATTCACAAAAATGCAAGCTTTACCATTTACATATTCATACTTTTTCTCACATTTGAGTACAGTTTATTACAGTGTATTTTGTTACTTTCCCTTTTTTAATCTATTAGGCTATATACCTTTAATTAATTATTATTAATTTATTATTATTATTATTATTATTATAGATAATGTAATAATGTAGATATGTGTCAATCCTCCTGAGTGGTGGGGATTTAATTTTATTTTTTCCTTTCGACCCTCATTTAAATAAATGCAGAGAAAAGAATGCATAAAAAGATGAAAGTGCAGACTATGTTTTTTTCACGGTGTACTGCTGTCTGTTTATATTTGTCTGTATAATAAAACTATCTCTTCCTTTCATAAGCATCTTTCCATCTCCTGGACACTCTCCTTTTGTACCTGTCAATGTCTTTTTCTCAAGCACTGCATGTTCCATCTATTCCTTATACATTTGAAAAGATACTTCTGACATGATATATAAAAGAAATTATATTTTGGGTCCTGGGGTACAGTATCACTTTTGCTTGAAGGAAAAACAGATTATGCTGGTCAATTTGTGCTGTTGGCAACTATAGTCTTCCTAATCACTCTCCACTGGGAACATATTATCATGCACACTTAATTTCTCTTTCTGAGAGTGTAGAATGCATCCAAATACACTGAACAAAATTATAAACACAACACTTTTGTTTTTGCCCCCATTTTTCATGAGCTGAACTCAAAGATCTAAGACTTTTTCTATGTACACAAAAGGCCTGTTTCTCTCAGCGTTGGCGTCTGCGTGTGATGTTAGAGCGTTGTCGAGAGACAGGCGGAATGGTTTGGAAACACATGATAGAAATGGAAAAGAGAGGACAGGTAAGGACAGTGTGTAAAGAGAAGGAAAAAAATATACTTAAGTGTGATGGCGAGTTTGTAGCAGGTAAAGTCGC